TTGGAATTCTATAGTGTAAAGGTAGGCTAACACCTTTCCAAAAATAGAATCTTTTAAAATTTCTTTAAGCATAGAGCATAACTTCAAATTAAAAACACGGGCGATGAGATCAGGCCTATCCTGGGCTGTTTGACTTAGAAGAAGAGAATTAGTAATTTCGGGCCATTGTGGATTGCACGTCATAGTAACAAAAAGATCAGGTTTTCCATATGCCCTCACGATAGCCATTGCATCCTGATAAAGTTGATGCATATGTCGAGGCCCTCCAGTGAAGCTTGACGGCAAAATTATCCATTGTCCTAAATTTGTAGTTGTGGTTGAATTATCTCTCGCAAGCATTGCATCTTGCAATCCACTATATAATTCTGAACGTATTTTATCTTGATTATATCTTAAGTAATTAAGACGCATTTGTTCTACTGTAGCATACATATCGACAATCTACTGCTGGAAAAGGCGTCCGAATAGATGTAAAACTACCGCTTCATTTGGTCGATCTAAATGAAGCTGATAGGCAAAATAATTCATGGCACTAACATATTTTTTTGTAACACTTACCTGATCAGCATCATCAAATGAAAAAAATTCAGCATCTACAGATTCTTGTGTAGATGTAGAAAAAGATGTTTGTACTGTAGGAATATAGGGATACCATCCGTCTTCACCTCTTGGAAACATAAGAACATAATGCAATGGTTGATAAGCACGATGTAATTCCGAAATCCTTTTTAATGGTCCTTCATGTAGCTGTAGTATAATATCATGTTGCATTGGTTTAGAATTTTGTCCATCTCCAATCATAATTATAGCAACTTCTGAAGCAGTTGGAGTATTGTATCATCTAGGATCTTTTTTTCTATTATCTGTAATTGCCATTCGTAAGTTTAATGAAGGATTTGCTAGTAGCATATGCCCAGCTTGTTTAAATATGTTACAATAAGGATTCAAATCATGTAACATTTGTTGAAGCTCCCCAAGAATAACGGGGTCAAGACCAGGCATTATATTCATTCTATTTCGTAATTCATGCTCAGTATCATAGATATACAATTGGGCGAATTCAGGACGATTATCATCATCAGGAAATAAGCTGCCTATACTATGATACATTTTACCATGAATGCGAAAGCTATAAACCCCACTCGTACCAGTTATGCTGTGATCAATATTAGCACCTAGAGACGTAAATGACAATGCTGAATTATACATTTTAATATTCTGTTTAAATAATCTAGCTCTTTGATCAGTCCTTGTAAGAAGCGTATTTAAAGGTGAAGGTAGTTCCTGAAGAGGAGGAAGAAGAATCTTCCCTCCAGCATAGCAAGTTGTAAAAACCGGTGATCGTGTAGAGGAATTTAATAACCTTTCATCTATCCATAATAGAGCGCGACATTTGCGACATCTATGTTTCATACTTCCTAAGGTATGACGATCCAAACCAACTGAAGTCCAAGGATAGATCTGTGCTTTTGAAACTCGCACAGAAACTCGAAAAGGGACTCTAACAGGTTCTGGAGGGAAAACTAAACTTCGATCGGCAAAAGTTTGTGTTTCATCCTCACAAGTAATGCTAAAATCGGGATGCAACGAAGAAGAGGGTATAAGATTAGTAATTTCATTAGGCATACTTACGATATTTGCTGTTTGTATAAAAGTTGAAATTGTAGCGAGCTGTTCTTTTCTTCCAAAATTGTATAATGCTACTGGTGTTTCTCTTTCTACATGTAAGAGGTCGTTAGTGGCATGTGCATAAATTGTATGATTTTTATTAGTAAAGCTAGTATTATTTTCTTCAGAAGTTTTTAGGTTTCTTTTTTTATTAATACGATAACGTTGTTGACGTTCACGGTTAAGTCATTTTTTTCGGTCTTCAGCAGTCATATCCATAGTTTTATTGGAAAAAAATAATTGGGGAATGTATGTTTAATATTAAATATAACTATGTAGAAATTCTCCTATTGAACGAAAAAAAATAATGCGAAAATAAGAAAAGGCTACAATAGTATAGATGATTAAGTAAAACCGAACATATATCTTTTTATCATCAGGTAAAAGTAGAACTTCAACATGATAGTTAAGTTTCAATCGTAGATCACATGAAATGGAACATGATTAGAAGTTACACAAACCAAAAATAGTAGAAATTAAACGTGAAAAATTGGGTGTCACAAAAAAATTGGATGCATCGTGACATATCGTGACATACAATACAAATACATTTTTTTATACAGAATAATCTAAACGTTACGCTCACGTGAAACTACCAATTTTCATAGTATAGATTAATAAAAAGTTACAAATATCAATTAATTTCGTAAAATTCTTTGTAAATTTTTGACTTTATGTATAGTTCGATCAAATATATTTATAGGAATTAGTTACTTGCATAATAACTAAATTTTGAAATATTCCAATAGAGTTATTTTCTAATACAGTAAATATTATTATGATTTTTTTTTTTAGTTATTGAAATAAGGGTTTTTATGTCTTTATTTTATAGACATTTTTTTTAATTTACTAAATTATACGTAAAAATTTTTTAATATACGTATATAGTAATCAAATTTTGTAATAAATAGTTTGGTTATTATATTAATTAATATTAATAAGATAAAGAAAATCTTTGTAATAATGGTAATTATATAACTTAAAAGCACATTTGATTTTATAAGATACTTATTCTAAAATGGTAATACAATCATAGTTTTCCAATATTGAATACTGTATCTAGATAAGGGCAAGTGAATTTTCTAAAGTAGTTTAGACCATAAATTAATGTATTATTTTAAAAAAATAACCAAATGGGTAGTAATGTTCATTTATAAACCCATAAAGAACCGAAATTTTAAACTGAATCGAACGTTCAACCAATTCATTTATGAAAAGATCAAATGTCATGGGATCAAAAATACTTATAAAAAAGAATTGTACAAAATTTATATAATCTCCGTGTTAAATGTGTAAAAATGTCTAAAAGTGTCATTCGGTCTAATTTTGCCCAATATTGCTTTCTTTGTAATAAACTAAAAATTAGACAAAATTAAATAGAATGACACTTTTTTAAGCATAACACAAATATTATAAAATTCTTTTTTTATAGGATATAAAATAGAAGACTATTAATAAAATTGGTTATTAATCAATTGACTTATAATAGAGGCACTCAATATTACATTTAGTCTATTTCAATATAAGAACATTAAGATATTATAAACTTCAAGTTCATTTATCAATTACATTATAGAATTCCAATATGTTATCGAAATAAAATTGTTACATTGGTTTTGATCAATCTCTCTAGATATCTGATTATCATATAAATAAATTACAGACGCTGTAATTTGCTATGAAGATCACATAAGGATGAGTTTTACTAATTCCAATAAATTTGGTTAAACCAGTTATCCGGATTTTACTTGAGTGCCGTCGAGGAAAATCTGTAAATGTTGATTTCATTTACAGAAACGAGTTCATCAAGTTCTAATAATCCCTTTCTGAAAGTAAAATTTTGATGATCAAGCCTTAATAAATTACCGATATCTGCAAAAATCAGAAACTTAGTGATTTGTCTATCTTAGTTTTCCCGAAATTTATGAAAACAGCTGCAATATTGAATTAGTGTTCCTCATGGACGGTTCCGGGCGGGTTTTTTACGGATCCGAATCAGAGCCTCCAGAAGAAACCTAGGGATGTTAATCGGTCTTTTGGACCGAATCCTAACCAGTCTTTACAAGGACCTACAGGATCAGTAAGGACTCGGTCCTTAAATCACATGAAAACACAATACATTTTATAGGAGAATTGAATTATTATAACAAACCAAAATTAATTTGATTGGATGAACTTATCCGACAGATTCAACTCAGGATCTGGTACAGGTTCCAAGTCCTATTAAATGTATTGTATTTTCATGTGATTTAAAGGATCTAATCTTTTTAAATCCTAGGATCGGACCGGACTGAATTCGCAATCTAACGGTCAGCAGACATGTCCAATGATCTGCATATTCCTATTAGTTGAAAATCCAATTTGTACCAATAACAAAATTTTATCGTTCTTCTAATAAAAAAAAAAAAGAATAGTGAGATTTGAAATAAACTACATTTTAACATTTTTATTTAAGTCATATATTTGATATAAAGACAATATTTGGCATAAAATATCTTTCTTAATTATTTACATATTGTCTATTTTATAGTAATAAATTTAGTTAAAATTTGAGATGCTTTAAGGGAAGTGGCACTTATTACATAAATATAATCCTCTCAAGGAAATGTCAATTGACTACGTCCATGCCCTAGTGTCAATTTTTTGACAATTACAAGTTTTAAAGTAATTAATAATATAATTATATAAATTTTACATATTTTATAACCTTCTTGCATATTTTATGTACCTCTTGCATGGTTATGCATTGTTATGCATATCTATGCAGAAATATGCATAACAATGCAAGGGATATATAAAAATATACAAGGAGGTTTTAAAACATGTAAGATTTATATAATTATATTATTAATTACTTTAAAACTTGTAATTATCAAAAAATTAACTTTGGGATATAGAACACAATCAATTGACATTTTTCTAGAGGGTTATATTTATGTAATAAGTGCCATTTTCCTAAAAGTTTGTAAAATTATTCATAGTTTTTTTATATATTTGATGAAAAAAATCAAAAAATTCCTATTATATTTAGTTATATAGTATAGTAAATCAGTTATAAAATATACAAAAGTTACTGTATATGCTTTAAATAAATTTTATTTGCAGATAAAATTCATATGCATAATAATTATATGATCTAACCTTTATCAAAGATCAAAATATTATTGTGTTTAGATTTATATCAATATTGTTATAATATAATTGATCAGAAAATATTGTTATTATTAACTTTTTTTTTATATTTTTAAAAAATGTTAAAGTTATTATATATATCAATCAAGCCTTTTACTTTGACAATACCATATTCAATATAAGCATATTAAATTTAATATATTTAAAGATAATACTTTTATTGAATACATTATATAGTTTTAAATTATTTTGTAATAAAAATAGGTAGATTTGTAATCTAGAATAATTTTCTATTCACAAAAGTTATCTGCTATTCATTGCAGAAAGCATTTATTTATGTAATTCTACATTTCAAGATAGTTTATAGCTGAATTATTTTTATTGTTTAATAACTTTTAATGATTTGTTAATTTTTCTTTATTTTTTTTGCTTTGTATATTTTTTTTTTATTTCTTAATAAAACATATTATGATGTTATAAACTTTATGTTTAATTGTTATTTTTATTTCAGATTTTTTGATATCTTATCAATATATTTTGTAAATTTTATTTTTATCTGTTTTATAACATATAAATAATTTATTAAATTCTTCTTCATAATTTTGTCTTGCATTTTGAAAAAGTTCATGTTTTGTCAGATTTAAAGTCAAAAAAGTATTTAAAAGAGAGTTTAAAAGTTTTATATTGTTGGTTTTTATGATTGCAAAATGTGATTATTAGTAATAAATAATTTTTTATCTATATATTTATTCAAAAACATTTTTAGATATTCTCTTTCTAATTGAATTGTTAATATTTATAATTTTAACTTATTATTTGTTTTTCATATTTTGCTTTACATATATTATACTAAATCTTTTCAATACCTTATCAAAGGCAAAATAATATCCAAACCTAGTTATATTAACTAATAATATTTTATTTAATTAAATTTTCATTAAATTATTTTTATACAAACAACTAAAAAAAAAAAAGTGACAGACTGAGCATAATTACTATATTCTATTACTAGAAAAAGAAAGATAAATGCTTTTAGGTTTTCAAATTGCATATTTTAATTATTATAACTAATATTTATCTTATAGCCTATTCAATATTTAGACTAACAGAAAAATAAATATCAAATTTTTACAATATTATTATTAACTAATAAAATATTATTTATTGTTTTATTATAGGTTTTAATATATTTATAAAGTACAACTTCTACTTCTGTCTACAGTAATATTACTATTCTTAATGTTGCTTGATAGTTAATCATTTTTTCAAACTTATCAATATAACATACACTAAGAATTAATGCTAAATTGAAAATTTTATATCTTAAAAATATTGAGATAAGTATTATACATATGTTTTTGTTAATATGCCAATCATCTAACAAAAATTAAAATTCTAAATAAGTTTTATTTAAAAAGACTAAATATCTAAAAATTACTTAATTAGTAACTAAATAAAGATTTTTATTATAAGAGTGTAACAACTTAGTAAAGTAGTCAGGTTGTCACCTTTAAGTAACAGATCTAGAGTTCAAATCTCAGTAATTGCAAAAATTTGCAATTCTTTCTGTATTACAATTAACTGTCTTCCATTATTAGTTGGAATTAGATACCTGTAATCCATATAATACTAGTATGACTAGAAGGTCTAAGTACTCATACAACATTGTACAAAGAAATACAAACTGGTACCAAACAGTATAAACTCATAATAAGTCCTTAGACCATATAAATTACAGAAACTAGATAAGAAGACATTTATTTAAAAGACCTGAATAGAGTAGTAATCTGAATTTTCAATAGTGCTATTGTAAAGACTAGATCTATAAAATAGAGCTAGAACTTGTAAAACTAGACAAATATGCTAGTCTTTGGAAAAAGATCAGATGAACCAACCAGGTTGTCAGAATTTTTAGATTTCAGAGAAAAAAGATACATACTAAAAAACATATAAAACAAAGGTATAATTATGACTTATCTGAAATAACAACTTAGTAAAACTTGAATTGAATACTAAAGTAGTAGAAATATGTTGTGAAGTTAGTATCAGAGTTGAAATAAACTCTACAAAGGCATAGCAGTTTAATGATATGCCTTGATTGCAAGTATTTGCCTTAGATATAGTAATACTAGGTCAGCTATAAAAATGAAATACAGAAAATTCTAGAAGGTTTAGTACAAAGTCAAAGGTTTCTCATATGAGTAAACTGCTTTAAAGACTTAGTAGCTATAATATATTTTTACTAACATCAGCTAGAGTCATTAATAAACAGAAATAGGTAAATAGATATAAGAACTAGAATATTTAAATAGAAAACCTACAAAAAGGTTCCAAATATAGTAGCTAGTGTAGAACCTTTGGACAAACTACTTAAATTAGACAATAGCTAAAGTGGTACAAATGACTAATTGTACACTTTTTCTATAGTTGTCTCTTGTAGTTGTAATGTAACCATTAGTCAAATATACTATTAATAAAATTCTGAGTTACAAGTACTTATCTTAATATTTAAAAAAAAATCTTTTTATTATAATTAATTTTTATATTATATATATATATATATTTTATTATAAACATTTTTTGTTTTATTTGAATTATCTCCTAGCTATAATATTACAATATTTGGTATTAGAAGATGTTAATCAGATTTGATTTTATTTTTATACTCTTTAATAATATCTTTTATATTAAAATCTAATTCTTTTTTATTAAGAAAATTATTAAATAAATTACTACAATGTAATAATTATTTTCTAAATATAAAAAAGTGCTAACTTTAAAATTTAAATTAGTATTAGTTTTAAAAATATTGTCAAAAATTACTTTAAGTATAGAGTTTGAAAATTTAAATTAAATCACTATTCTTAAAATACAATGCATATTTTTTCTTATAATATTAAAAATATTATTATATAAAAATGTTTTATCTTTAAAATCTATATTATCTATAATGCATACCTTTAAAATATTATTAATTTTTCATAATTTTTTACAAAAATCTGTTTTTTTTTTATTTTATCTTTTTTAATTTTTTCTTATATTTAAAAGTATAAGACATAATATTAACTATGCATAAAATAGTATACAATAATAAGTGATAATATAGTTTTTGATATAATAAACTTAATATATATCTAAACTATATATTAATATTCAAAAATGCAATATTTAATAAAACAGTAATTATAAATAATAAGATTTTTTTACCTTTTACTAAATTATACTTTGTTGTTATAATTCTATGCTATTGTTATTTTTATATATAACAATTCACTTTTGATTTTGTATATAATTAAGTATTCTATTAAAAAAATATCTTATAGGTAATAAAAAGCTATTTTTATATACTTGAATTAATCATAAATTCTCTAAATTATAATTTTTTTTTTTATATAATGCTTTGATTTTCATAATAAATATCTAAATACTTTGCTAAACTATTTAGATTGTTTTTAATAGATATATCAATTTGCTTTTAACTATTAAGTTTATTTATATTTATATTTTAAAAATACAAAATTATTTTTTTAAAAGTACTTAACTTGACAATTTAACTTAATTAATTCTAAATTTATTATCACCCTGATTAAACAAATCTGATCTAAATGTATTAACTAATATTTTTGTTATTTTATATAATAACTTATTCTTTATACTTTTTTTTGGTATTAAGGTGACCTCTTTGGTCTTTTGACTTTTATTAATCACTTATCAGTATTGTGGTTCAATGAACCACTACAGGAGAGCATACAATTGGCTATATGTGTAACTTTTCTATATTATCTATTTAAGAAGTCTGCCTGAAGGTTCCCTACCAATTGCTGTACCTAACACCTCTGCTTGGGTGTTCTACTTTAAACCCTCTGAACCTGTAATTTGTATTAATATCACTGATCATCTCAGATGTACCAGATTATCATTCTCAACCTTAGGACTAATTTATTCTCGAGATAAACTCCCTAGAGCCTTCTGTATCCATTTTTACAGCTAACCTAGATATCACTATGGCAGAACCAACACTTATGGTCAGGGCTGATCATTAAACCACTATGCCCTTGTAGAGTTCACACAAACCCTAGTATCTACTTCACAGCATATTCGAAATACTTTAGTATACTCCTGCCAGTTTACCAAACTTCTAATTCAGATAGCCCAGTAGGACTTACAACTGATCTATTGGTATATCAGATCAGCCTGATATCCTTTTCCTCCAGCTCGATCTGGTGGCCTGGTTGGTGGTACCCCTCACCTAGAGGTTTTTGCCTATCTGGCTATTTCGATCTTGGTATCTGTTTCATAAGGCTAGTCTTTACAGTAGGGCTGTCAAAGATCTGACTACCTCTCTATTCAGATCTTCCCAAATGGACTTCTTGCTACCCAATTTCAACAGATTTATATGGCACAAGGACTTATCTAGTGTTTGCACCGCCTATTGCTGGTTTGCATTCCTTCATATAACCACAACCTTGTCCCAAAGGACAATGTCATATGACCTGTTACATGAATGCCCTATAACCTACTAGTCATGCTAGTGCAACTGCTATTACAGATATCTTAACCTAATCATTAGTAACAGTTGTGTAATACAAATATTACATAGATGATTATCCAAATTTTTGCCATCAATGGGATTTGAACACCCAACCTACCACTTGGAGGGTTGACAACCTAACCACTTCACTAGGTTGCCACATCCACAAGGCAGATTTTGTGCTTTCAAGTTTATCTTATAATCATATAAAAAAAAAAAAACCAAAACACAAAAATTTTAATTTTGGAATTTTTTTTCAAGCTATATATTGAATATCTATAAATTATTATAATTAAGTATTTTAAAAATGCCAAAGGGTAATTTTGGTAAACAAAGAGCAAAAATTACACAAAAACAATATTGACAGTAGAATGCATACAAAAAGTTGATAATTATGCTTTATTAAGATAATAGGCATAGTATTCGAGCAATAGCAAATAAATTTGAAATTGAACCAAAGCAAGTTTGTAACTAAAAAAACAAAAAAAGTAACTTAATGTGTATAGCACTGTACATTCAAAGACTTAATACTAATGCATGATCTAAGTATCTGCAGCTTGAGAATGAATTTTTAAGATAGTTTTGTGAGTTGTGAAGTTAACTAAAAACAGTAACCAGGTTTATGATTGAAGTAAATGCTTGCAGTTTAGCTAACAAACAAAAATATTATACTTTGTATTCTGATATTTATAGATGTCAATTTTTTTACAAATAGATAAATGGTTTTATATTACATCATTTTTTAGTAAATTGCTAACATACTACAGTTTCACAACAATTGCCTAAAGAATATATTGAAGAACAACAGAATTTTCTATTGTTTATTATTTATTGGCAATTTGAACATAATTACTCTTTAAACTTAATAGAAAATATAAATAAAACTCCTATTGCATTTAATATGCCAAACCAAACAACAGTTAAGAAATCTGAAAAAAAAACTATTTTAATTCTTACAACAGACCATGAATGTATCTGTTTTACAGTAACTTTAGCCTATCTTGCAGATAGTTCTAAACTTTTGTTATTTATTATTTTTAAGTTAGTTAATATACTCTAAGAAAGATTTCCTAATGGTGTATATGTTTATAAGAATCCAAGTAGTTGAATAAACAAGATAAAAATGATTTAGTAGATAAAGAATATATAGCATTGACAAGCTAATTTAGGCTTAAATTCACATTCTTTTCTTGTTTTTAATGTGTTTGCTAGATATAAAACAGATCTTGTAAAGTGTTACATCTATAAGTAAAATACAGATATTGCTGTAATTTTGAATGAACTAACCTTATGCTTGCAACTATTAGATATGTCTTTAAACAAACTATTTAAGACAAAAGTTAATATTAGATCTATCTCAAAATCTTGATAGGCAAAATCTTAACAAAATGTTTGACAAATTTGGCCAAATTTGTCAAGATTTTGTTTTGTCAAAATTTTACCTATCAACATTTTAAGATAGAGCTATTAGTATTTCAATTTTAGTATAAAAAAATTCTTAATTTTTTTATAAATAAATTCACTATGCTTATAATTAATGAATAAGTAAAGCTATAAAGAAATATATGCTATTAGGCAAAATTAAATATTTATCATACTCTTTAGTAGCAATTTGGGCCAAAGAAGCTTAGAATAATATTGACCTTACAATGATTCAATAGTCTTTTAAGTGCTGTAATATTTTTACAAAGATAGATAGTGCTAAAAATAGTTCAAATTTTGATTTTAAGAAAGCATTAGATAAAAAGAGAGAAATTAGTATTAAAGAAGATAGAAGTCATAATAATGTAGGTAATAAAAATAATCAAAATAATGAAAATAATCAAAATAATAAAAGTGATCAAAATAATGAAAGCAATCAAAATAATAAAAATGATCAAGATATTGAAAATAGTCAAGAATATGAATTTTGTAAATATTATAAAAATGAGAAGAGAATTTATATTAATATTTAGAATTAGTTAATTAAAATATTATTTAGAGTAAACAATTCTTAGAATTTTAGAAAGCTATTGTGAATAATTTACTTAATTTACTTGGTTTACCTATTTTTTTTTTTTGATATAAAAATTTTAATAATAATCTTTATATATTAAAAAAGCAATATGATATTTGCTTATAGCATTTCCTTACATTCAAACATTATTGGCTAATCTTACTCAAACAGCATATAGTAAATAATTTACCATATAAGTGAAACTTTACCTTAATTTTATAACTCATCTGTTATAGCTTACATTAAGTTATTACTATCTTACTAAAAATTATTTATTTCTTTTTTCTTCAAAAAAATTTTTAGGATTATTTTGCTTTTTATAATGCTACACCTATCAAATTTTTAGATTATCTGTTGTAAATTCTACAATCAATAAGACAGCATTTTTGTTTTTTTTTTTGTTTTTTTTTGAAGTTAAGGTGAGGCCATGCCTCAGGTCTGTTTATTTGAACATATTATTACAGTTTGTACAACTTTTTACATTATACATTATCTATTACTATATGTCTAATTAAGAGATGAGAC